GCGCGGCTGGGCCGGGAGGAGGAGGAAGCCGGAGCGCTCCCGCTGGACCACGTAGCCGACGCCCTCCGGTCAGCACGCCTCTTGAACCTCTCTCCGCCGCTCGGTCCGGCCGCACGGCAAAGCATCCCTTTTGGATTCTTCATTCTTGGCACATTTTCTCAAGACTGGGGTGCAGGGCGTGAGGCTGTTTCTTTTTGTCGTCTGTTTTCCATAATGATGGCTTGCAAACTCCGGGGTTTCCCAGCCCAAAGCACACTGTGCTCCGTCCCAGAGACAGGACTTTCTGTCCCTTGTCTCTGAATATTTTGCAAAGTCACAGGCAACACACACACACACACACACACACACACACACACACACACACGCGCGCCAACCCTGGCCACCACTCAGGGAGCCCTGAGGCGGATGGTAAGCCTGGCACCCCTCCAGGAGGAGGGGACCTGGAAACCAGACTGGAGAGTCCTGCTTCTGAAATCCCCACACGCGAAAGTGGTGATGAAAAGGGACAATGAGTCACCTCCACCCCCGTGGCTGCCCACTTTGCTTTCTGAGCTCATGGCTCTAATTCTTAGAAGAATGGAATGTCATTGCTAGGGGAATTTTTTGACCAGGTCCTTGGTTTGAAGGTGGGGTTAACCCTCATGGAACATGCGGATTCCGGAGAAATGATAAATGTCCCTAGGAATGATCTTCAAGGAGAACTAGAAATCGGTGAAGTCATGCACATTTGGCCTGAGTGTAGGCTGCCTCCGCCTGCAAACACCACAGAGCTCAAGCAGACGGAACGTTGGTGATGTCAATTTTCCTGCCCTCCCTTACGGTGGAGCGGTGGAGCGTGGTGTCAATGAACTAGGAGCACCGCAGGGAGCCAGCTCTTGCCATGTTTGTGGGGCCTAAGCCAGGGACATGGCAGGCTTCAAGGAAGGTGTGAACTCCCATCAGAGTTTCCGCATGCTGGTGAGGGTCTGAAGAAGACAGCGGGCTTCCGGAGCACTCAGCTTCTCTGGGCAGTCTGCAGTCGTGCAGCGCCTACATCAGGTGACCAGGCGTCAGCATGGCCTCTGCAGGATGCAGTCTTCCAGGTGCCCTGCCGGCCTTAGCCTGGTCCACCCCGCCCCCCATATTCTCAATGCATCTTTTCTACCCAGGTAGCTCCCAATAGTAGTGCCTCCCATGGTGCAGATGCTCAACTTGATCGAGATCACTGAGCATTGCAGGGAGCAGCTATGGAGAGCAGAGGAGAATTCCCACCCAGAGAACTTCTGCCTAGTGACCATTGCAGAGTGTGTGCTGTGGGTCAGAAATGGAAAACCATCTAGATAATGTGTTTCAAAAGTGGAAAGAGCCACCAGCACTATCTTGTGCCTGAGACAGCAATGAAGTGGACAGTCCAGCCCCACTAGGGGCAGGAGTTCAGACCAGGCAGCAGACACCCTATCTGGCAGCTCCTCTTTCCTGCCCAGAAAGCAGGGATGGGGTGGGGTGGAAACGAGGTGTTGGGAGCAGTTCAGGGTCCACAGGCCCCTGCTGCTCTTGCCTTCTTGGGGTCACAACGCCACCACAATAGAACCAGCCCTGCATCCAGCACCTGCAGGCACTTGCTGTCTTGCCTGAAAAGATGCTGGGCATTGACCAGCCAATCGGTGCCTTTGCAGCTATTTTGGGGGTATAATGGAAATCACAGTGATTTTGTCAGATTTTGGCACATTTGAGACACATGTGTACACTTGTGAAGACATCACGGTCACGTTGAAGACACGCTCAGATCCAGAAAGGTTTCCCTACAGCCTTCTGCAGTTCCTGTCTCCTGGATCTCTGCTCTGCCTTGAGTCTGGGTCCCTGGTCAAAGCCATGGCCAGCTTCCTGTCACTACGGGCTATTCTGCGTTTCTTAGAGGGGTTCATGAAAGGAAGCATGTGGTGTGCATGTTCCTTTATCCTCTGTCAGTACCTGTGTCTTCAGAGCTGTCTGTGCTGGTGCGCGTATCAGCAGTGATGCTCAGTTGCGTGGATCTGACACTGTTTATCACTCACCCCTTCATGGACATTTGGCTTGTTTCTGGAGTTTTTATCATTACAAATCTGCCATGAACATTTGGGCGCAAGTCATCCCATGCGACTACGTTTTCTCTTCGTGAAACACCTAGGAGCAGCATTGTAAGCACTTTTAAGGAAACTCAACCCCTCCAAGGGCTCTGCCACTTCCCATCACCACAGCAGCGTGTGTGCTGCACCTGCTGCGTGTTGGCCATGGGCAGCTTCAAGGTCTGCCTCCCAGGTCTATAGGAGCACCCCTTGTTTAAACATGTACTTCCCCAGCAACTTAGGAATTGGAGCAAACTCTCATGAGCTGCTGCCATTCAAATACCTTCTCTGGTGAAGTGTGTGTTTAAGTGTTGTTTCTTCCTTTCTTTTAGCTTGGGATAATTGCTTTTCTGATTGCTGTTTGTTGAATTTCAAGAATTCTTTGCATGTTTTCGATACAAGTCCCTTATCAGATGTGTGGTTTGCAAATATTCCCAGTCTGTGGCTGGTGTTTTCATTCTGTCAAAATTGTCTTTCAAAGAACAGAATTTTTTAAAATTAGTGCATTTTAATGATACAGAACAAGGGGTTTTGTTGTGGCATACACATACATGCAAATGATGTACTGTGGCCAGAGCCACCCCAGCCCCTGGTTTCCTGCCTCTCCTCTGATAGTCTCCCTGCCTCTTTCCTGTCATCCCCAGATCCCACCTGTGCAGGAAAACATGTGATGCCTGTCCTTGTGTGTCTGGCTCATTTGGCTTAACTTGATGGTCTCTGATTCCATTCATTTCCCTGTAAACAACACAATTTCGTTCTTTCTGGTTGCATAATAGTCCACTGTGTACATATACCACATTTTCTTCATACTCACATACACCTGGGCTGATCCTGTGACTTGGCTAATGTGAGTTGTACATGATAAACATGGGCATGCTGGTATCTCTACAGTATGGTGGCTTTAATTCCTCCGGGTGGTATAGTGGGGCCCTTGGTGGCTCTCTTTCTAACTGTGTGAGGAGCCGCCCTCTGGCTGGGGTGAGAGGGAGTCTCAATGTGGTTTTCATTTGCATTTCCCTGATGGTGGATGATGTGGAGTATCTTTTTCAAATACTTATTGGCCACTCATAGGTGTTTCGAGAAGCATCTGTTCATTCCATTTGCCTGCTGACTGGCCAGTGTTACGTCTTAGTCCTTTATCTATCCACTCTAACCCGCTGCAGAGGACCCGCTGGCCAGTTCTCCCTCCCCCTTCTCTCCACCGGTGTCCCTTAGGTGGGCACTCACTGGTGCTCGGACCTGGGTTCTCGCTCCTGCTTCCTGGAGTCCTGGGCTGGGTTCCTGGGCCTTGAGCATTTCCCCATGTTTTCTTCCAAAGTTTTGGGTCTTGTGTGAGGTCTTGGTCCACTCTGAGTCGGCCCGTGCAGGGTGAGAGAGTCTCATTCTTCTACAGGTAGACATCTGGTTTCCCCAGGCTCTCCTCTCCAGCCTGTGAGTGGCCCCGGTCACAGGCCAGGGTTGGGGGCCCTGTGGCTGTCTTGCGTCCCTCCTGTTCACCATGCTGCTTTGTGACCATGGTCTCCAGTACACCTGAAATCAGTCTTGGGCCTCGGTTTGCCCACAGAGCAGAGCCCTGGGCTTGGAAGCGACTTGGAATGTTTTCATTAGTGGGTTTTCCTCTTGGGGTCAGCTCTGCCGGGCCGAGTGCCACAGGATGTCTTCCAGACACCGTGTGGCTTCATGCTGCGCACCTGGGAGCAGGACCCGTTTGAGTTGGTGATCCTTGCAGGCTGGGAAAGTAGCTTCTATTTCCAGTATTCCACGAGGCCTTCCTTCTTAAAATCAGGGGAGAATGCTGGGAGTGGCAGAAGTTTCTTCTGCATCTATCGAGGGGGTCTTTTCCCCTTCATCAGTCCGTGCACCACCGCGATTCGTCTCCAACGTCCAGCAGGTCCTGCGTCCCTGTGGCCCACTTGGTCACGACACTCCCCCTTCAGACAGCTGCTGGTTTCCGCTTGCAAGGCCTCGTTGGGAAGCTTCCCTGTCCACTCGCCGGCTTCCCGGTGGCTGCTGCTGTGTGCAGTGCGGGAGCCCTGGGCGCGCTCAAGGGAGGCTGCCTCCCCGCAGGTTGTGCTGCTCCTGCCAGGCCCCAACGTGGGTGCCATGGTGGTTTCCATACCCAGACTGCGGTGGAGGGACCTGGTGGGACCCTGGTCACCTCTGCCTCTGTCTGTGAGTGGGAAGTCATCGATTGCTGGGCTGTGGTGGGGCACCCAAAGGTCACAGCCCTTCTGTGGAAACGCAGGCCTTGGCCAAGATGCCGGCTTGTCCCACTTTCCAGGCATTCCCAGCTCCAAAGCTCAGACTCCTGGTCCCAGGTCCATGAGGACTTCTGCCCTGTCTTGTCCCCTGGGCGAAACATTGCCGTCTGACACTTGCAGTGGGATTCTGTGCCAAATAGTCACATGCAAGAGGCTCGTGGAATCTGCACCAACCCTCCACAGAAATGCTGTCCGACTCCCTGGCAGGCTGCACCTCCTGGACCCAAGGCCTGAGGTTCTGTCCTGGGTCCTGAGGCTTGGAGAGAGTGGGCAGAGGTGGGGTCCCAGGTGGTGGAGATGCCGTGGTTTCCCTGCAGCAGCAATCCTGAGCCCACTCCCTGCAGCTCAGGAGGCCTGGCATGGCGGCTGGGCTCTCTTGTTCATGTCTGTGGAGCTGCCTTGGAGGGGGCCTGGTACCAGGGTTCAGGGTGAGGCTGTGGCTTGGGCGGTAACTGCTGCTCATCTGGAAAGCTGCCCCAACACAGGGTGGCCCTGGACTGACTCCCACTGCAGGTCTGCGTCATGGATGTAAGTGACAGACTCGCAGAGGGCTCACCTTTCCCTCTGACTGGGCAGGCAAAGGCAGGCACCAGGAGAGCTCCATGCTCCTCGCTTCTGGTGGCCAGAAGGTGGACGCCGTCCTCTGCACTCAGGTCGGAGCCGTCCTTGGAGAGAACACTCTGGGCTGACCTGACCCTGCCGCTGCTGGAGGGCTAGGAAGGGCTGGGGAGGTGGTCCTGGAGCCAACAGTCCCACCGGGCTGGGTGAAGAGCCCTAAGACAGAAGGCTAAGCCTTAGACCACCAGCCAGGAGCACGTGAGCACGGTTACCAGGCGAGGAGCAGGGGCGGGCGTCTCCCGTCAGAGGCCGAGGTTTGCTGATGCTGGCTTTCACAAACTGATGAGCTTTGCTTCAGTGAACTTGAAAGAGGAACCTGGGCCGACACAGGCTGGAAGAGCTCTATAAATATTATTCTGGAGAGTGTCCAAAGCATTTACAGCAACCGTGCCACTCCTGAGGAAGGACACAGCTGTTTCCACGTCACACAGTGGTGTTGAACTCTCCAGGACAGGCAGAAGGCACAAAGCTCAAGGGCAGCTGCACTCCACCAGTCCGACTCCTACCCTTGAAAGCTCAAGGGTGCTGGGCATGCAGAGTGCAGGGACAGTGGGAAAGTCACAGCCTGAGAAGCCTGCAGCCACAGACACGCATTCTCTAGCCATCCCGGAGCGAGAAGCCCAGGCATAGCGGGGTTGGACCCCCACCTAGGGCTTGGGAGGGACCCTCCAGGGTTGGCAGGCTGGACTCCACCCTGGGCTATAGGGACCCTCCAGGGATGGCAGGGCTGGACTCCACCCTGGGCTATAGAGACCCTCGAGGGTTGGCAGGCTGGACTCCCTCCCAGGGCTATAGGGACCCTCCAGGGATGGCAGGGCTGGATTCCACCCTGGGCTATAGGGACCCTCCAGGGATGGCAGGGCTGGACTCCCTCCCAGGGCTATAGGGA